TCTGGAAGAAGTAACCTAGCTAGGCCAGAATCTCCCCCTTTTGATATAAGAATAAGGGTGGGGAAGAAGTAACCTAGCTAGGCCAGAATCTCCCCCTTTTGATATAAGAACAAGGGTGGGGAAGAAGTAACCTAGCTAGGCCAGAATCTCCCCCTTTTGATCTAAAAGCAAGGATGGAGACAAGTGACCTAGCTAGGCCAGAATCTTCCCCTTTTGTTATAAGAATAAGGGTGGGGAAGAAGTAACCTAGCTAGGCCAGAATCTCCCCCTTTTGATATAAGAACAAGGGTCTGGAAGAAGCAACCTAGCTATCTCCCCCTTTTGATCTAAAAGCAAGGGTGGGGACAAGTGACCTAGCTAGGCCAGAATCTTCCCCTTTTGATATAAGAATAAGGGTGGGGGAAAAGTAACCTAGCTAGGCCAGAATCTCTTTTGATATAAGAACAAGGTTTGGGAAGAAGTAACCCACAGCTAGGCCAGAATCTCCCTTTTTGATCTAAAAGCAAGGGTGGGGACAAGTGACCTAGCTAGGCCAGAATCTCCCCCTTTTGATATAAGAATAAGGGTGGGGAAAAAGTAACCTAGCTAGGCCAGAATCTCCCCCTTTTGATATAAGAACAAGGTTTGGGAAGAAACAACCTAGCTAGGCCAGAATCTCCCCCATTTGACATAAGAACAATGGTGGGGACAAGTGACCTAGCTAGGCCAGAATCTCCCCCTTTTGATATAAGAATAAGGGTGGGGAAAAAGTAACCTAGCTAGGCCAGAATCTCCCCCTTTTGATATAAGAACAAGGTTTGGGAAGAAACAACCTAGCTAGGCCAGAATCTCCCCCATTTGACATAAGAACAATGGTGGGGACAAGTGACCTAGCTAGGCCAGAATCTTCCCCTTTTGATATAAGAATAAGGGTGGGGAAGAAGTAACCTAGCTAGGCCAGAATCTCCCCCTTTTGATCTAAAAGCAAGGGTGGGGACAAGTGACCTAGCTAGGCCAGAATCTCCCCCTTTTGATATAAGAATAAGGGTGGGGAAGAAGTAACCTAGCTAGGCCAGAATCTCCCCCTTTTGATATAAGAACAAGGTTTGGGAAGAAACAACCTAGCTAGGCCAGAATCTCCCCTTTTGATATAAGAACAAGGGTCTGGAAGAAGTAGCCTAGCTTGGCCAGAATCTCCCCTTTTGATATAAGAACAAGGTTTGGGAAGAAACAACCTAGCTAGGCCAGAATCTCCCCCTTTGATATAAGAATAAGGGTGGGGAAGAAGTAACCTAGCTTGGCCAGAATCTTCCCTTTTGATATAAGAATAAGGGTGGGGAAAAAGTAACCTAGCTAGGCCAGAATCTCCCCTTTTGATATAAGAATAAGGGTGGGGAAAAAGTAACCTAGCTAGGCCAGAATCTCCCCCTTTTGATATAAGAACAAGGTTTGGGAAGAAACAACCTAGCTAGGCCAGAATCTCCCCCTTTTGATATAAGAACAAGGGTCTGGAAGAAGTAGCCTAGCTTGGCCAGAATCTCCCCCTTTTGATATAAGAACAAGGTTTGGGAAGAAACAACCTAGCTAGGCCAGAATCTCCCCCTTTTGATATAAGAATAAGGGTGGGGAAGAAGTAACCTAGCTTGGCCAGAATCTTCCCCTTTTGATATAAGAATAAGGGTGGGGAAAAAGTAACCTAGCTAGGCCAGAATCTCCCCCTTTTGATATAAGAACAAGGTTTGGGAAGAAACAACCTAGCTAGGCCAGAATCTCCCCCTTTTGATTTAAAAGCAAGGGTGGGGACAAGTGACCTAGCTAGGCCAGAATCTTCCCCTTTTGATATAAGAATAAGGGTGGGGAAGAAGTAGCCTAGCTAGGCCAGAATCTCCCCCTTTTGATCTAAAAGCAAGGGTGGGGACAAGTGACCTAGCTAGGCCAGAATCTTCCCCTTTTCATATAAGAACAAGGGTGGGGAAGAAGTAACCTAGCTAGGCCAGAATCTCCCCCTTTTGATCTAAAAGCAAGGATGGGGACAAGTGACCTAGCTAGGCCAGAATCTTCCCCTTTTGTTGTAAGAATAAGGGTGGGGAAGAAGTAACCTAGCTAGGCCAGAATCTCCCCCTTTTGATCTAAAAGCAAGGGTGGGGACAAGTGACCTAGCTAGGCCAGAATCTTCCCCTTTTGATATAAGAATAAGGGTGGGGAAGAAGTAACCTAGCTAGACCAGAATCTCCCCCTTTTGATATGAGAACAAGGGTGGGGAAGAAGTGGCCTAGCTAGGCCCCAGAATCACCACACTTTTCATAGAAAACAGAACAAAATATCCTCGTTTAAACAGGGGGGAATAATTTGGCCTTTTTTTTGTGTGCGTGTGGGGGGGTGGGTGTTTTGGGGTTGGGGTGTGTGTGTGTGTTAGACCGGGGAAGAAATGGCCTGCTACACCGGCACCCCCATGGGACTGAAATAAAATGCCGGTTTAGACAGGGTGCCGGATTAGACAGTGACGATCATTTTCTATCTCATATGCCTGTTTACCTGCTCCAACCAATCACAAAAAATTGCATTGGTCATCCACGCCTTCTTATTAGGACACCAATGTACAGGAAGCTTATCTAGGGAAAGGTTTTTAAAGCATCTTAAATTTTTGCTGCGGGCAGTCAAAAACTATTCATGAGTGAGAATGTTTATCTAATGAAATTTACCACTATCATACTGACGTTTCGTCTGTGAATTATGGTTTTCTCCAAAATTGGATCGATAAACATCTTGCTTTTTCAAAATGTCCGAAACCGTTTGCCTGAAAATTTGATATTTAACTGCAATCCCCCAGTTTTTATAAAGCATAACCGCAGTTCACTGCGCAATCACTACTTCCTGATTATCTAGCATGCCAAGATGATTAATTATTGTATTGGATTATGGGTCCTTGATTGAACTGTTGATAACCATGTCGGTTTAGACAGGCCCATTATACATGTTGTACCATGCGCACAGTTTATCAAGCGCCAATATAACATGCATGCTACGGAGCAGGATACACATCAGGGTATAGAGATATCACAATCGCAAAATGTATTATGTTTTTTAAGAGCTAGGTATAAATATTTTCCCAGATCATTAATGACAATTATATTCCTTGACATGAACAGTTGAAACAGCTTCTCATGTGATGGGAGATTATAGTAATATTTGGGAATTGTATTTTCTCTAATACCATTGTAAAACGGAAACTCAAGGCAGAAATGATATTCATTTTCAACAGTGGGAATGATACAGAAGGGACACAAGTGATCACTTCGCTCAAGACCAAGCCGTCTACTGTATTCAATTATCAACATATGACTGGAGCTTTGGAAGTTAAAATTGCTTGTTGGGACCGGAAAATCGTGCCAGAATGCGGAATTAACAGGTGCCGGATATGACAATATTTTAATGATCATGATATCGTTATAAAACGGAGGGACCAAACTTTTATGCCGGTTTTGACAGTGTGCCACATTAGACAGGTGCCGCTGTTGGCAGGTTTCACTGTATATGATAATTGCATGCCAACTCACAAGCTGTATGATGGTTTTTTTGTGCACTTACTATGTGATGCCACACACATTGTGATAATATATTAAACCTTTTTATCAACGCCCCTGGGTATTTTGTTGCATATATTTGAACTCTACTGACACTGACGCCATAAAGAGGTCATAAAAGAATTGATACGATAAAGAATCTGCCTTAGAGTTCATGTACACAGGTTCAATAAAATTCACGTCCACTGCACAGATCTTTTCCAAGACCCACCTGACACGGAGGGACTGTCGCCTTTGATGTTTTCCAATCATACACCAGAACAAATTCCCAGAGAAATAGAATAAGTATACTATCAACAAATGTTGCACGACAGATTATCACTCTGTTTAGTCATGTAAAGAAAATGTGTTATTTAACTCTTGGGTCCTGTATGTCAGATACGAAGTTGGTTACCTCTGTCATAAGCACACGCTTGAGAAAAACAATCGTTACATCAGCGACAGAGCTCAAATTAGGCGAACATTATAAGTAGCCCCACAAATACGTTTTTCCTGATTCCAACATATCATAAAACAAGTTTTCTGAATTACAAGTTAATTAACAGAAATATAAGAGACTTCAGACAATCAATGAAATGCATTTAATCAAAAGAATAAAATAATGTCAGATCAATAAAAACGAAATTAATGTCAACAGAATCTATCACAGCAATATATAATGTGTGTGCATGTGTGTGTGCATTCATGTATCATGAAATTATAACAGAGTTCTACTTTTTCAAATAAATAAGTTGAAAATTTGAACATTTTTTAGAACGGACAGGTCATATATTACTGAAAGGGCATTTGAAAAATGCTACATGTAAACACAATATGATACAGTCAGAAAACCTGTCTTACATGAGCTGAAAGGAAAATGTTCTATCAAATACTTAGCTCATGTCACTTGAAACCAACCATCCCTACATCACAGTTACAGCGGGTGCACAGTATTATCAGTTTATTGAGGTTTGTTCTTTCCTTCATACGTATCACAGTATGATTTTTTTATGCTCAGTATATTGGGTGATTTCAAATAGCCATTGTTATCATAGTTCTAATGACATGCACTTGCCAAGCACCTGTGAAATGTGTGACAGTCTGCTAAAGCAAAAACGTAATACTCAGTTCCCTGCCATATGCCCTACGCTTCTATCAACAACATCCAGGTCTCAAAGATAATGGTGTGGTAAGTCATTTCAAATATGAATTTCAGTTCATGCAATGATGTTTCAGACTGCTTCTGAATTTAAAATTTGCAAATATAAACTATATCATGAAACATATTGCAATATACATGTACTTTGAACTTCCCATCCCTATTGATGACAATGTGTTGAGAGATAGTTTTTTTAAGCTGGAAACTTGTTTCAGATTGTTTACACGCTAAACCAGAGAAAAAGAAAGAGATGCATGATGTGGCATAGGATATGCTAAAAATGATAGAAATCAATTCACCTGTCCTGTCGTCTGCCGCTCATGCTCACTCTGCTGTGTAATTTTGTGTAATTCTGTCTGTAACTTCTGCTGCTCATCAGAGAGGGTGTCATATGCATCCTGCAGGTCTAGTTTTTCCTGCATGAAATTAATTACAAAATACAATATGTTAACTTCCACACTTGAGTGCATAGTCTGAGGTAAATGTAGTATTGGGTCATCAATAAGTATCTACACAAGACTTCTTTCTTATTTCCCTGTTTAAACATTTTGGTGTTGGTAGGTATTGTAATCACATTTGTAGAAATACAAAAAAAGAAATATAACTTCAGATTTTCTGCATCATATTTCTATTTAACCATAAATACTCAAACTAAAACCTTGTGGAATAAAGGTGGACAGACTCATTGCCATTATTCCAGAATACCCAAACCTTTCCACCAAACATCTGAACAATTTTGACCTAACCAAATCAGGTGACAGATGATTTTGGCGATATTAGAAACCTCAATCATGCCTCGTGAGGCACAATTAAGTAAGTCAACATTTTGGCTTCTGACAATATTAATGGCTAATTACATGTTAAAAGCACTTTTGGCTTTGAAGGGTAAATGTACATGAAAAAAATCACTTTTTTCTTGAGTGAATCAGAACAGAATTTTAGAATTAGTTAATATCAATACTTGAAAACCCCTCCTCATATGATGATGTCATTGGTGTCAGTTCATTTAGACTAGTCTGTTGTCAAAACATATTCACAGTGAAATTAATCAAGAAAAATGTTTCTAAAAATACAAAAGATGCATTGCAATGGAAACTGATATAACATCAAAAGCATAAATACTCAAAGTACTCACAGTTCTTACTTGGTGAATTTCTGTACGCAGTTGAAGTCGTTCCTGTGTCAACTTCTCATTATCTTGCTCCACCTTCTGCAGCCTATGTTCATAAGCATAGAAGTCATAATCAGACAATACAAACTTGACAAACAGTGAAGAAAAATAAAGTGTCAGACCAACGTAATGCACCTGGAATTGAAGTCCAAAGAGTAAATTTCAACGGCCACTTATAATATGCAATATTGCTCAAATACAGCATATAGGCATCAGCAACAACAAAATGACATAGAAACAACTAAATACATAGTTTTAAGATCAATGAAATATACATTCAAAATCAATATTTCAAACAAGAAGGATGGACACTGGATCACTGTTCTGTATAACTTAGCAGCGGATCCTGAGGTGAGTAGAATGTGGCAATAAATATATCACATCCTTTATTTTAATCCTATTAGACTGAAAAGTAGGCTTAAGGACAAGAAGTCGACCTTTTGAAATTTTGCTATCGACACAAAGTAGACCCGAGGTAAACCCAAGGGTCGATGTCCTGTGCAGACACCGAAAAGTATAGAGCTGGAAAATAGCTGTTTCACATCACTGCAAATATTCAACTAGACTTACGCTTATAATTTTGATAGTAACAAACAAGCCCATTTAAATTGAAAAGGAGCCCCTGGGAGACCAAAGATTCCTGAACCTAAGGAAATCTAGACTTGCTTTATTTAGGACTTTAGCACTGCAGATAGGCCTTGGCAGTAGGGAAAATAATGTGGTTCAGGGACTGTGAGACAGACTAATATTCAACTAGCAGAACATCTTTATCACAGCCAGCCAGGCAGCCAGCAACTATCCCATGGAGGTTACCAGCACATGAAGCTGCAGCATAGAGGAAGTGTGCACATTCACAGTGCAAAGGTCAACACAGGAGGTTTCATATGAGCCATAACCAACCATCAGATGGGACACAGAGCAAATATGTCTCGTCAGAATAGTGAAACAATGTTTGCAAACAGATGTAACACCAATCTAGAAGCTATCCACAGTACTCAACCAAACACCAGTGCACCTTTTCAAATTCATTTACTGCCACCTTACCAAGTTCAAGATAACAGGACAAGGATGAAGGATGGCCTTGTTTCCGAGAAGTGCAGTTTCCTCAAGGACCATCTTGAGTCCAGAAAAAAGACACCCATACAGTTCATAACTGCGACAAGTCACTTAATCAAATAAACAAGAAGACAAAGTCATCAATATCCCCCGCAACTGCAAAATACTCTTTATGAATATGTCTACTAGATATGATTATGTCAAATGTTTTGGAGTGTATACAGCAAAGTGGAAGGAGAGTATTGAAAGGTTTTTAAGATCTGCTCCAGAAAGGAACACTACCATCAAATTCAGTTGAAGCCCAACTTGTTGCCATGGAAATGCAACAAGATGACATCCTCATAGTCACAGCCTAAGTCACGTTTCCATGGAAACAACATAAAATTAAATTCATATCTGGGTCTAACCCCCAAAAGGCACATCTAGGGATCATGCTTGATATGTGTACCAAGTTTGATGAAGCTAGCATGTATAGTTCGGAAGATCTGCTCCGGACAATATGACATCCTCATAGCCACAGCCTAAGTCATGTTTCCATGGAAACAGCAAAAAAATAAAATTCATATCTGGGTGTAAACCCCAAAAGGCACATCTAGGGATCATGGTTGACATGTGTACCAAGTTTGGTTAAGCTATCACGCATAGTTTAGGGGATATGCTTCGGACAAAGTGTGACGGACACACGGACGGACGGAACTCGTTTCTATATCCCCAGCAACTTCGTTGTTGCGGGGGATAAAAAAATCTGTCAATGATTTGTCTGTGAAAAAGGAAGGACTATTATGATAATTTCAGCTAGATTGAATGTAAAAGTATTGCCAAAAAGATAGTTATAATTTTTTGTATTGTGTCATAAATATCATGTGTTACTTTCACTTTGTCTTGTTTGTATTTGCTTTCCCATATTTTCTTCATAAGCATAGTGTGCACCCTTTTCAAGGATATTCAGTATTTGGGAAGGAAGGATTTTTCCAGGCTTATGGGCAATGAATACCTCCATAAAATTCAGGTAAGGCTTATGTTTGTATCAGCTAACCTTCTAATTAAAAGACTTTCATTAACAAGGTCTTACAAAAGAAGTAACAAGAGGTTATGCAAGCTGTTGTTGATAAGAGGCTTGCAAACATCTCATGGGAAGAAAACAGACCCCAATGCTCCTCAAGGAGAATCTCCCAGCCAAGAAGCCAGAATACAGAAGCAGGTTAGGTGATGGAGAACAAAGAGACTTCAAACAGACCTTTGTCTCTTCAAGCCTGGGACCAGTGTACATGAGTCACCAAAAAGATGGTATTCAAGAAAGAAAGGTGCTCATATCACAGAGGACCCAGTTCAGAGAACTCAGACCTATACCATCTTTTTACCACACAATGGATATACAACAACATTTACTAAAATGGAGTAGTCGACCATCACATCCTGTACAAAGAAACATTCTGTAAGTGTTACTGTTTCTAGGATGGAGTCTGTGATGCCCTGCTTGAGATGTCACCCCTACAAAAGAGGCACTCCAATACAGGCTGGCCTTACCTGCACAACTACAAACCTACCGACCTCTTATGTGAAAGATCTTGCATCAAAGGTGCACACTCAAGATATGCTGAATATTTCAGATTGCACTAAACAGTACAAGGTTTCCAGTCAGAAAAAGAAGACAGGATGGGGTTTGACTTTGAGGTCAGACCAAGAGGGAAGGATTTTAAATCCTTGCAGTGAGGAATTGATGTGTGGACAAACAGTTATTAACAAAAAAAACAATGAGTTTTGAGATAAAACATCACCAGAAATGACAACTGAAAATTGTATCCCTTGCTTTCCTAGACATTGTGTTATATGCAGAGATAAAGAGTACAATGTGTATTTTCTCATAAACTAAGCTGGTACATGTTTTCTCCCAATCCTCTATTAAACATACTCAGTAATATAACTTCAAACAATTTTGATACAGTGATCAGAAAATTACTTTTGACACCATTATCATACGCCCTTTGTGATACCGCGGTTTCGGGGTAATCTGTGGCTCCCCAAAAATAGAAGGTGCCCAGCGATCACACATCTTCACGTCATCGGAAATAGCATAGCAACAAATCCACTGTTGAGCTCAGGTTAATCACGTTGTAAACGAGCGAAATTCAGTGTGGATTGCAATGAACAGTGTTCATCATAGATATATCCTTGTATTATGGGTTTGCAGATGCTAAAAAACATTCAGGGTTTCTTGAATAATCACACTACCAGCGAAACATTGCAATAAATTATAAAAGACATATTTATCATAAAGACATGTCATCAGCCGAGTGATATTTGCTGTGATGCAACACACTACGTTATAGCAAGAGTAAACATCACCATCCAAAAAAGTATGATGCCAGAAAACACCTGATAAATTGATCTTCCTCAATTCCATTTTATTTGATTAAATTTAGCCTCATTTTCATTCATTAAAACTGTTTACAGTAACATCTGAGAAAACGTGTGAAATGGTATCGCCTTATTCTATACGCATACAACTTATGCTTACCATGTTTGTGAAGGTCCACTTTTTGCGCCTACCACAAGAGCTCCAATTTCAAATTATTCTCAGCAATCACAAACTGTTTACCGCTTCATCATCCATCGACCCCAAAACCCACAGTATTGACTCATTGAAGTCATATTTGACAATCAATTGCCAACAATATGATTTTACAATCAAAGGGGCATGAACCACGGAAAGTCAACTGTGACTTGTCAAACTGTCTCATTCGTAAAATGTATCCACCATGTACCCAAAGGGCCAAGCCTAGTTTAATTATTATGTTAAATATGTACAGAGAAAAAGTGCATTATTTTAATACATGTATTAGGAATGCACATTTTCAGATTTGTTGACATATTTCAAAGTGTTACTTGCCCAAAAGTATGTCATTGTGACAGTCAAACTTTCGGTGTTTACACTAGCACAGTCAATCAATGATCATGAAAATCTCAAAATGAAACATGTCAAATTCAAAACTTATCATAGTACTATTCATTTTTTATGTCAAATGCTGTGTATTTTAAGCTGACCTTTGTGTGACATAATCCATCTGAGCATCAGACTTTCCTCTGTTTTGTCGAGTCTGCAAAAAAAAAAAAAAAACACTGCAAAAGTAGATAGTAGTTAGTTTGCATGTAACATGAAATTTCTTGAATGCCACAGTTCAAATGAGAAAGGTGATGAATTACACTGAGAGCCACAAATCTCTGCAGCTCACCTGATATTTTTCTCAGTTCTCAGGTAAAAACTCTGACAAAGCACATTTTCTGATGCAGGGGACATGCTCTTTATCCAGGAACATGAGGCAATAGTTACCATTGTAAATAACAAACAGAATACTATCTCCATTACATGTTTGCCAGAAATCCTATATTTCCGCTATGATTACACAATAATATCTTCATAGTTTCAATGGATATAAGCGATCGGTCCTCGTGTATTGGTCAGATGTCTTAATGCACTAATGTACAGAAATTAATGACACTGACAAAATGTTCGTTCATTTCATTTTGCCTCCCTGAAAAGACACAATGCAAAAGACCTTATACTGTATTTTAATTTTTTTTCCAGGAACTCCCCAAAAGATTGTCCTATTTCAGAGACATGAAATGCTAAACAAACGAGTAATGTTGGAGGCCAAAACTGTGCAGTTTGCCTGCAGCCACAAAGAATAAAGATAGAGCTCAGTGGTGCTTCCATGTGTTATGCGCACAATAGTAACTGGAAATGCAAATATCCTTCTGCAAGCTAACCTGCCATATGCATCCAAATTCAATCTGAAAGCATCCATCCACACCTGTTTTGGATGAAGATGGAAAGGACAAATGTGCCATATCTGTGACCATCCACAGTGTTTTCATTTAACAATTAACCAGTGGACTCTGGAATTGTAATTGCAATAACAGCCCTCCTGGTTATTTCTGGAACTGTCTTAGTTCAAACTTGGGCAGGAAATCATTGTTTCTGTTACCAAGTGACCTGGCTTGACAACTACATCTGAGTAGTGAAAGACTATTCATGCATTTGAGAATGCTATCTTGATAACTGTGTGTTACATTGACCTCGTCTGCATGGATTGTAACCAGCATCTCTCAAGCAATTCCTGTATAAGGTAGGAAGACCTTCTTTACATAATTCTAAAAGTTTCTCCTATTCACTCTGTAAAATTAGAGTGTCTTTGTCAGTTTAGTCAGCCATTGTAGTAAATCTCCTTGTCTGACTGTCGATCAAAGCTTCTGAACAGATTCCATCTTGAATTTCAGAGGATGGTTCAGGAAGAATTTGTGCCAGATCTGATCATTTCAATTTCGGTCAAATTCTTCCTTGGAACAAGAAAACACTATAGAATTGTTGTTGTCTTGGGAGTTCTAATTGGCTAACAAGGCCTGGATGGCAACATAGGCTAAATGACAACATAAAATTATAGAGTATGGCTAATGTATACATGAAAAATAAGGAAGATACAAAATTCCTATGGAATTGACCTATAGGAAGCATAATGTTCTTTATCATAATCTTGATCAGATTTGCATTGTATTAGTGCAGCTTCAGGTTGGTAATCAAGTTAATAGTGTGTGTAAAAACACTATTAATGATCTCAGAGGACCCTTCGGAGGTCATTATCTAGATCCATCCAAGATGGTAACATAATAGATAGAGAGCCCATATGGTAGCCTGGAGGGACCTTTAGATTCATGGGAGTTTGACAACATTCTAGTAGAAATTCAATCACTGAATTTTGTTGGGTGAAATGTTCAATCATGCAGAAAGAGAGATTGAAAATTTTATTATAAATTGTATATTTATATACTGATCCTATCTCACGGTATGCACCTCTCCTCTTCTTCTACGACCATGTGTGGAAACGTGCTGAAGGCTAAGTTGAATCAAATCTTGCTGGCCTCTGACCCGCCCTGACCTCTGCCCCCACTCCGACATCAGCACCTGTCAATCATCTCCGTAAGCGTGGAGCTCGCTCAGATGATCATGTGACTACCTGTGCCTGTCATTCTCGTCTTGGAGCTTCCAGTAATCTGTGATGTGGGGCAGGTCGGGTGGGTCCTATCGCATGAGATAGGATAAGTATATAAATATACAATTTATAATAAAATTTTCAAATTTTTAAACTTATCCTACCTCACGGTATGCATAATCCCACGGCTGGTAGGCTGGTCGCAGATTACCCCGTTACTACCACCAGGAAAAACGCAAAACCCAAGGAGGCCAGGAGAAAGCACCAACTCCCGATATGCAAACTCCAACTTGAGATGGGTTTCTTCACGTATTTTTACAAGCAAAAGGACGCAGTTTGGCAAGTAGGCCCTGCCGCCCCGCGATTTATCAGGTGACCCCAGTGAATTAAAGTCGAGGACCTTAATCTGGCCAGTCCCTGCTTCGAAACTACCCCCCACAGACATACGCTGGAAGGCGGTGAAAGAGGGAATAGTTCGGTTGCTCAACTAGTTTAATGTTCAGTACCAATCTCCCTAACTTACCAAAGGTGAGAAAGGACTCAGGAGCAGAACGCTTCGAAAACCATGTATGTAATCGGAAATCAACACTTCACTGACGTAATTGCTCAGAGAGTAGAGGTCAGTAAGCGGAGTGTTGATCATCTCTGCATGTAGCACAAGACTGGCCTCACAGTCTATCAAGTCATAACTTATGACAGTGCAGACACGCCCTATTCCCATAGGTGAGAATGATCTAAGCCCAAGAGAAAAAAGTACCAATATATGGATTACATCGATATCTTATATTAGGTACAGAGCAAAACCGACCAAGGAAGGATTGCTTTATCTGCGAACACGGGCCGATGACAATTGCTGCGCCAGGACCAAGGGGACGAATTGATGTAGACCTTCCACATCTGTAACCGAAAGGTCCCTCAGGTAGTGTGAAGCAAACACCGTATCGGATCTCCAAAAACAGCCCTCCATGATGGACTGCAGGGAACAATTTCTGGGAAGAGCCATGGTGGAGGCAAGAGCTCGAGTCTCATGAAGCTTCGCCATCGACGGTGGAGGTAGGTCAGCAAAGGCATAAGCACACAGGATCGTAGTTTGCATCCAAAACGCCAAGGTAGTACGGGAGACTTCCGAGGTGGAGGCAGTAGACAATGGAATGAACAATCTCCTTAATACACGCACTGGGGATAAGGACAGATCCTCAGTGTCATCTGGGCCCAAGATAGTGGACAACGACGGAATAATCAATGTGCGATCCGGCTGTCCTGGTAACTGATTCTTGGGAGAAAATCCCACCGCAAACCAAGGAAAACTCTCGCATGTCTAGACCTTTCAAACCGCACCCGAGAAACATCAAGAGCATGCAACTCGGAAAAACGGGCAGCTGTAGCCAAGGCCAAGAGAAAGAAGGTCTTAAAGGAGACATGTTCGAAATCTTTCTCCTCCAAAGATTCGTAATCAGCTGACAAGAGATGACCAAGTACAACGGAAAGATCCCAAGCTGGAGGCCGAACTTCCGGGATTGGTCAGCCAGTTTGTAAGACCGGAGGAGAGACTGGAGTTCAGGAACAGTGGACACCTTCACACCTGAGACCGCTGCAATAACGGTGTTAAGAGCAGTCAGGTAGGTAGACAGTGTAGAACCTTTGAGTTTTCTGGAGGTTCGTAGATGCTGAAGGTACTCTGCCGCCATCTGCGGGGACGCTGTAGTGGGGGATGAGACGCCCTTCTTCCTGCACACGCTTAGAATAGCCCTTAGCCGTTAACGACTGATGTAGAAGCGCCAAACGTGCAGATGGAGCGTCATCGGGGACCAATGTAGCTGGTCGGAGTGCGGATGTACCAGTAGATCGGGCCGAACGGGAAGTGGCACGGGATCTGGTTCGGCTAGGTCTTGAAGGTTTACGAACCAGCTTCTGGCCGGCCAATAGGGCGCGACCAAAAGCAGAGTCTTCCTCTGAGTTGCGCGCAGCTTCACTAATACGCGAGGAAGAAGGGCCACTGGTGGAAACAGCGTAAGCTTTCAGGTCCTCCCACGGAATGGCTAGAGTATCGAGGTCCCAAGCCGGAGGATCCGGAATCGGTGACACAAACCGAGGCAGCTGATGGTTGAATCGAGTGGCGAAGAGATCCACTGTCGGAGTCGTCAGCGGAAGGCAAAAGGTCTGGAACACCTGAGGATGCAATTTCCATTCCGTTGGAGAGGGACGACTCGGTCGGGAAAGAGAATATGCGATGACATTCTACACCCCCGGAATGAGGGTGGCTCATACCAAGATGTGGAAAGAGTCCACCGGATCGAAGAACCGTTGGGTCCACTGCAGCAGTTGAGTAGACCCCGAGGACCCCATCCTGTTGATATGCCAAACCACCGCTGCGTTGTCCGACCGGATCATGAGGGAAGTTGCTCGTAGGACATCCTGCCAGTGACTGATTGCAAGCATCACCGCCCTGAACTCCAGAACGTTGACAGGCGCGATCGATGGGAGACCACCGCCCTGCCACTAGTTGATTGAGAAGATGAGCTCCCCACCTGTGTAGAGACGAGTCCACATACAGGTGGTGAGACGGAACAAACGGCCCTAAACAAACTCCGTCGAAACATTCCATGCTTCCATCCACCACAGGAGATGGGGATGGAGCTCCAGAGGTAGAGTGATCAAGGCAACGGGATCTCCCACTCTGATGTAAGGCGCTAGAAAGAACTGCAAGGGACGAAGTTGTAGTTGACCCCTGAGGGTCAACGCCTGAACCGACATCAAGAGGCCCAGGTGCTCCTGCCACTGACGAAGCGTCCTGGGTTGCGCCAGTGCCAGAGAAACCAATCGCTGAATCTTGCAGAAAAGATCTCTCAGGACAAAGAGTTTGTTGGCCTCTGTGTCGAACACTGCTCCAATGAATTGAAGACAGCGCGTAGGGGCTAGTTCCGATTTCTGCAGATTGATTAACCAGCCTAATTGGCGAAGAAGCTGTATCGCAAACTGCATGTGACGAAGCAGAAGGGCATGATCAGTCTGCATCTGAATGCAGTCGTCGATGTAAGCTTTGAACACTATCCCCTTGCGGTGAAGGAAACAGGTGATAGGCTTCGATACCCGTGTGAACAGCCACGGGGCCGAAGAAATTCCCAAACGGGAGGACACGCCACTAATAGTGGGTGCCCTCAAAGACAAACCCTAGGAACTTGCAAAGAGCCGGAAAAATCGGGATGTGAAGATACTCATCCTGGAGATCGAGACTGACCATGTAGTCTCCCGGCTTGATGATTGCTGAGAAGAGCCACTGACACCATATGAAAGTGAGGTGGAGGTTGTAGAAACATTTTATTGAAAGACAAGACAAGTCTGTCAGGTACTTCCTAATCGATGTATCATCAAAAGTCTCTGGTAAACAAACAGTAGTCCGCCATTGCAAATGCTACCGACAATGCAGTAACGACAAAAACCCGGACAACATGGATGTCAATCAACCAGGCGAGTCCCAACCCATAAAATCTGGGTAAAGTGACGCTAGCTACCAAACATCACTGCTGGTACCACACGCAGAAACTGTGCATAAATAGACCAGCTTGATATGCAGGAATATTGTACGACTCTTCACTGAGTTTTGTTACTAAATACAGACTACTCGTAGCAGCTGTGTGGTGTATCACTTGGTGTAATCGTGGTCTGTTTCGCAAGCCTCAGCACCCTTCCTTTCACATCATCATCAAGTGTCTGGACAAATATGTCAAACCGGGTGGTTGTAGAGCTGATATCTACGTCGAAGGGTAGATAGATTCGATGAATCGAATCATTCATGAAAGGTGAAGATCGGATGGTAGATGACAGAGGAATCTTAAGAATCCGAGATCATCAATCACTGCCGTAATGTAGAGGCCTGCGCTACTGACATAACTACTACCTCTGTGCAACCAACCCAAAACGATGCACTAACTGGAAGCGCCGTACTGGATGAAAGCATTGATACAGAAGAGAGCGGCGCTGGAGTGAAGCGGCACTCTGTATGGAAGCGTTGATACCTAAGAAAATGTCGCACTGGATGGAAGCGTTGATACATAGGAGAGCGGCGTACTGGTGTGAACTCTCTATCTGTTCACAAACACCATAGAAGCAGGAAGCGTAACCCCGAAGCCAAGCTGAGCACCGGTAAAAACTGTAAAAATGAGGTATCAACGCCGAAGTTGGAAAAAGTGTTGAAGTAGAACTGCAGTAGACAAAGTCACTGTAGGTACCGTAGTGTGTGAACTAGTAAACAAACCATGAGGACAGTATGCGCGCATAGAGGGAACCAGATGATTTGGCGAAAGCTGACAGTCCAGCGAACACTGTCGGATCGGCGAATACTGTAGGAGCGGCGATCTGGTATGGAGGAGCGATGAGGATCGATTAGGTGATCTGGTTCGGTACTGTGATCCAGTTGTGTCAAGTGATCAGGTTCTAAAGTGCTGAGTCAATCAGGACCGGTGCATTCGTCTTAAACATCGTACCATACAGTAAAGGTGTACTGGACTGAAAGGTGTTCCAACCAAACATCAGTTCACTAAGTTGAATCGTTGCCCCAATCGAAAACGGAACACTGGCCCGAAGCGCCGATCCAATCGAAAAGGCACTCTAGGCTGAAGTGTTGATCCAATCGAATGCGCCTGCAAGGTACGGGAAAGGTGTTGAAAGCTCCGCACTTGATGCTACCGTCATGGCTGATGTCACCACAGAAAGATATGAGAGCACTGAACTGGAACAAAACGATGCATTGGAAGCAAGCGACGCATAGGTTGAAGCGCCGAACTGATCCCGTGTGGTTGAAAGCGCCGAACTGACTGCACTCGCCACATGAGAGTGAACGCTTTCACCAATCGAACCCACCATAGCAGAGGGGGTGGAGCACTCAACCAAAGCGGCGCACTGGAAACAACCACCTGCCAAGGTAGAAGGCCGAGACTGTGCTACAGAGGTTGTTAGCACTAGGTACCACAGCGTTTCTTAGAAGAACTTTGATTCCATTTATTTCCCATCTTGACAATCAAATAATGTCTAACTGAGAGAACAACACACGTCCACACGACGTAGCGACAAGAAAGAGAATGACAGGCACAGGTAGTCACATGATCATCTGAACGAGCTGCATGCTTACGGAGATGATTGACAGGTGCTGATGTCGGAGTGGGGGCAGAGGTCAGGGCGGGTCAGAGGCCAGCAAGATTTGATTCAACTTAGCCTTCAGCACGTTTCCACACATGGTCGTAGAAGAAGAGGAGAGGTGCATACTGTGACATAGGATAAGTCTAACAATTTTGTGACTTGATCCTTCAGGAAGGGTGTCTTGAGTAATGCAGGCAGGTCAGAGATGTCAGGCGAAACTTGAGATGTGTCAGGTTGAGACATCATCACCTTAATCTATGCCTCTTATTTGAACTTGGCCTTTGTAATGGCATCGGCAATCTTAACAAAAAACTGCCTGGTACAGAGGTTACACATCTTAACTTCTGTACAGATGGTATCATGACACAGCAACACCAAAACCAACAATTGCATAACATGTTCCTTGCACAGCCAATAACTGAACTGAAACAATCTTGACTGGAGTGACTACAGAAGAGCAAGGGGGAAGGCTGTGTAATATGGGTGGTAAGTGGGCTTTTCCACTTGTGCACATGGAACAACTGTAGTAAGAACAAATAATTAGGTACATTTGAAAGTTTGTCAAAACCTGAAACTGGATTTGTGGAATGTCAGTCAAAATACAAGATTTGTGGCAATGATGTAAAAGAGGTAGAAAATTCGTAACATATTACATTTTATACACACATTATCAAATATGAGATATATAGAGATTACAGCACAAGGTCTCATTACATACAAATTATACAAAACGAGTGTCTTTCCTATGGTATCTGACTGAGTGAAAGTGAGGTCAGATACTATAGGAAGGTCACGAGTTTCGTATGATTTGTATGTAATGAGACCGAGAGTGGTATTCTATTTATTACCCACGTCTTACCTGCATAAATCTGACAAAATAGCGTATTTTTGTTATTTTATGCTTTCAAACCCAAACCGGTTTCATTAAGAGGTACACTGTATTGACGTCACCACGCCATTCTCGTTATCAAACGTACCCTTGGTAACCTTGATGCTAGTTTCGTGCGTTACAAGCCTCTGTGGTTTTAACTAATAATTTGCAAGACCAACAAGAGTCATCAGAAGATGACAAATCCCCCCCAGGCCCCCAAATTTGAAAGAACAAATCATCTGACACTTACTTAAAGTCCAACTTGATCTTTTTAGACTAAGTCCAATTCGTTTCCAGGGAATCCAAGGAAAAAAAATGCCATAAATGTGTAAATAGCGAAAGGCACCACTTTAGGTTCAGTTTGATATATCTACCAATTTTTGTTGTAATATATTGACTGGTTTTTGTGTTGTGCTCAGAAAAACGAAGCCCAACCCTCCCTTTTGAGACTAAGTCCAAATTGTTTCCATGGAAACCGAGAAAAATATAAATGCCAGAAATCCACAAAGAGCAAAAGGCACCACTTTGGGAGCTGTCTCATATATCTGCCAAGTTTTGTTGATAGATATTGAAAAGCTTTTGGGATATGCTCTGAAAACCACCAAGCATCACTTAAAGATGTATTATATATATATTCATATCAGTACAGGTAGTTGGACCCACTCACAATATATTCTTGGTGTTTGTGACGTTCCTCATTCAGTCTCTCCTCTGTTCTAACATCCATCAGCTGTAGCTGGGCCTCAAGGTCATGTACTCTGAAACAATGACATGCATATCTGGAGATCTTAAGAAACAGTGAAACTAGAAGGATTTGCAATGCATGCAATAATGGAAGTACACCAATACCCACCAATTTTTTGAATACCCTATAACTACCTTCATTGAGAATAAAAAAATACTTCTCATTCAATATAATTATTTCAGAGTTTATGATTTGTAACATAGTATTCCTAATGCACTTTAAGTTGAAACAGAAAGTCATGTGCTAATAACTACTTTTACAACAAAGTTCTAAGCAATTCCATTTTAATGACATCACTTCTGCTCTGGCGACACAGTCCTATGCATCTAACTACCTTACTGTGAAGTTTTATGCACTTCAAGTCTAATGGCATCATTTCTTATTTTGAAAAATACCCATGCTCAATGCAGTACATCCCATGCCACTACCTATATTAATGAACAGAAATATGTAGTTTCTGTCTAATGGACGACAACTTGAAAACCGAAAGTTTTACATCTCAAGCCCAAAAGGCACATCTAGGGATCATGCTTGATATGTGTACCAAGTTTGAAAAAGCTAGCATGTATAGTTTAGGAGATCTGCTCCGGACAAGATGACATCCTCATAGTCACAGCCTAAGTCACGTTTCCATGGAAACAGCTAAAAATAAAATCCATATCTGGGTCTAACCCCCAAAAGGCACATCTAGGGATCATGCTTGATATGTGTACCAAGTTTGATGAAGCTAGCATGTATAGTTTGGAAGACCTACTCCGGACAAGATGACATCCTCATAGTCACAGCCTAAGTCATGTTTCCATGGAAACAGCAAAAAACTAAATTCATCTGGGTCTAACCCCCAAAAAGGCACATCTAGGGATCATGCTTGATATGTGTACCAAGTTTGATGAAGCTAGCATGTATAGTTTGGAAGATCTGCTCCGGACAAAATTACATCCTCATAGTCACAGCCAAAGTCACGTTTCCATGGAAACAACAAAAAATACAATTCATATCTGGGTCTAACACCCATAAGGAACATCTAGGGATCATGCTTGATATGTGTACCAAGTTTGATGAAGCTAGCACGTATAGTTTAGGAGATCTGCTCCGGAAAAAGTGTGACGGACCCACGGACGGCCGGCCGGAACTCGTTTCTATATCCAATAACAAGAAAATTGATTAATTCACTCAGGGGTTTGGAGAAAAGTGACCATTCTAGAGGCCTGACCTTCAAACTAAATATCCACACACTATCTCAACTCCAACTAATTTAAATCAACACATGTATTTGTTTACATGTGCCGACATTCATAAACTTTCTTTAAACTTTGCTCATGCAGCTGAGAATTTCACAGGAGTAAATTTCACTGTGGTTTGCATATGATTCTGTGCAAATAGACCACAAAATACTTATGTTTTTTAAAGACTGGAGCTTATGGGTCGTGTGCTAGCATAACATTTACGGATGCATGATTTGTCATCCAATCCACCTATCATTTGTGAATCAAAGCCAGGGAACATCTCTGGATATCGTACTCCAATCTGGAGTATGAGTGTGGGATGAAAAATGTGGAATACTGATGTTGTTGACACCGCAAGTAGGAAAGTTGTTCTCTTTGATACTTGTATGTCTTGCAATATGAGTCACACATTGGATTAGTTCCATTTTTGGAAGAGACCTATTGTCTTAATGTCTTCTCATTGGACAGACTTCATGAGGCAAATTAATACACATGACATGTTATAATGTCTGTTGATTGCAAAATGTTATATACAAAAAATGAGCATGTATTTACAAAACCCAACATCTCTATACACACATAAAGAGCCCTAAGCGTATCGGCAAATGAACCAGCCAATGAAAGACTTCATTACACTTCAGTGTACGCCCACCCGCTCTGACTGAGTTCAGTATCCCGGGTGCCTCGTTTCGAGGGTAGTAACCTCAAGTACAAAATATTGCACTTTCGATTTGCGATTGTACGCTTATAATTTTGTTTATTTGTTTTTTCATAATCAGCCATGTATATTATATGTCATGAATAAATGATAATTGTGTTTTAATTATGTTTATTTGTTGGTTGCATCTAAGCTTTAAGAGACTAGCTCTAGTGCTAGTCGGATGTTTTCTTCAGTTTGAGACTAGCTTTGGATCTAGTCAGATTTTGTTTTTTATGAATGCACTGATATACTAGCGATGGTCTAGTATGATGACTACAATATATTATGAGACTAGCTCTAGTTCTAGTCAGATGTTTGCTTGGTTTTAAGACTAGCGGGTGGGTCTAGTGAGATTTTGTTTTATGAATGCACTGATTTACTAGCGATGGTCTAGTATGTTGATGGCAATACATTATGAGACTAGCTGTAAGTCTAGCCGGAGGTTTGTTTCGAATTTGATGCCAGTGATTGATCTAATCAGATTTGTTTGATAATGCACTTATATTGTATAGATTGTTTATTATGATTAATTGCAGTAATTCACTGGAATATTCGGAGGTTGTTATAATAATACACGTATATACTAAAGTTGGTATGGGATGTGGAATGCAGTACACATGAAAGCTGTATGAAAGCGAAATGTTGGTTTGGAGGGGACACACTTTCTGATGTAGTATAGTGACTATGGTATATATGGAATAAGTAGTTGCTTGACAGTTTAAAAGCTTTAACTCCTTTCCCTGTAGGTAACTAAACAATTACCAATTATTAACAATAAATCGCCAAGATTTATAGACTAGCGTCTAAATGTTATCCCCCTTCCCTAGTCTAACAAGTTTATCAAATAGAAGTACATTTATACTCTGCAACGGTAGTCAAGCATAATTTACTTAAACTTCACCTGTAAGGTAATTGTATCGGGTAGGGCATTCTTACGAAGGTTGTTTGATTTGACATGTGGTGTGAGTAGGCGCCATCATAGGATCAGATTGAACAAAGAAGCTAGGGAAGATTTGAGGTTATGGTTAGGTTTGGTGAGCAATCATAATGGAAAAGCTATAATGCTTTGGCAGTCCCATACCTCGCTACAATTATTTACAGATGCATCTACAGGTTATGGCTTGGTATTAAATTGAATGGGCTTATGGAACTTTGCCGGGACACTTCAGCGGACCTGCTGTCTCGGTTGCAGATCACAAAATTCCTCAATCGGGAGTTTGGGCATACAGGTAAAAAACACAAATTCGTCCATCCCTACTACCAGACAACTTTCGGTTCACATAGGCACATTACTGGGCACACAGCTCAGCGTTAATAGTCAGTCCACGTATATTAGAGCATGGGAATTATTCGTTTGATATTGTAGAGACTGTTTGAAAAAGGAGGCTGAGCTACTGATAGCATCATCAAACTGGTCATATTTCGTGGCTTACATGTTTCATAGAAGATTCTCCCCTGCTGTGATGCGAACATATATATCTGTGTTGGGTTTCTTGTTCAGAAATTGCTTCAAGGGGCTAACCGGATGCAAGGTATAATCGAGAATAGGTTGCCTATTACGGAAGAAATCTTGGCAGAAATGATAAGGGTGTTCGACAACGTTATCAGTAAACCATTCGGATGATAATTATTTCGGGCAATGTTCCTAGTCGCGTTTTATGGGTTCTTCCGGGTTGGAGAGCTTACAGTGCAGTGTCAGGGAGGGGTGGCATCTTTGCAGGTGCAAGACGTCTCTTTCTCCGATAATGCAGCGTACATAAGCATATCAAACTGTAAACATAATAAGTCAAATTTGCTTACAGTGGTGACGTTGGATCGTTTAGCGAATCAGCTTTGTCTGGTGGCGGCACTACGTGATTACCTGAAGTGGAGGATGCAGACCCCGGGACCAATGTTTTGTGATAATAGCTTTCGTCCGATAGCAAGATCCAAACTTAATCAGACGCTGAAGAATATTCTTAACTTCATTCATCTGGATTCTACCAAGTACAAAGGGCACAGTTTTAGAATAGGGCAGCAAGTTCAGCAGCGCAAAAAGGTTGGTCTGATGCGAAAATTCGGCAGAGAGGTGAGATGGAGATCAGACGCTTTCAAGTCCTATATCCGGTCACAATTGTAAATCTGTTTGATACAATGATGTTGTGTCGGTATGCCAAAATATGCAAAAGTTAGACGATTAGAAGAGCACAGCTAAACAAGATAGAACTGGACGTTTTTAGCATGGGCAAATATGGCTGGGCATCTCTCATCTTATTAAAGAACTGGCTTTTATTCGCATAGACTATAAAAGCATCAGGCTCTATATGAAATGCTGTCATGCTATTACCGGTAGTTTCTAGTCAGATGAACTCCTTACACAATTATAATACTTGATAAATACTCCGATGACAAAGAAGGATTGTATGTCTGTCGATTAATAAGCATAGAAGCTTATGGATGTATATATGTTATAAGTTCAATTACTTTGAGGTTGAATTATTTATGAAAAGAGAAATAGAACACATTACGTTGGGAAGAAGAAGCTTCCGCTGTTTGTTTTTTAATTTCAGCTCACAATGGCGAGGTGAGGGACTAACTGGATAGGATCCCGGAGCCTGTGTTGCAGGAATCGACGTTACAACATGCTTCTTTCAGAAAACGTGTGGACATTAAAACGAAAATATGGTGAAAAGTGTAAATTTCGTGGGTATGGAAGAAGTGTCATAAGGATATTTGACTTAGTGTTAGAAAGTGAGTGAGTGAGTTTTACGCCACACTGAGCAATATTCCAGCTATATGGAGGCAGTCTGTAAATAATCAAGTCTGGACCAGACAATCCAGTGATCAACAGCATGAGCATCCATCTGCGTAATTGGGACAAACAAGTCAGCGAGCCTGACCACCCGATCCCGTTAGTTGCCTCTTACAACAAGGATGGGTTACTGAAGATCAATATTCTAACCCGGACCTTTACGGGTATAGTGTTAGAAAGACATTGAACAAGTACGTCAGACATTTGCAAATGTTATGTTTGATGGACAGTGATCATACTACTAATCACACAGGAAGAGTGAGACTTACGAGTGGGAGTAGCATGAAGGTGGAAAA